TTGAACATCCTCGAGGATGGTAGCCTGAGAGTGAAACAAATGGATGAAGAACTGCCTTCGCCCCCACTTTCAAAGAGCAGCAATTCATCAAAAGTGGAGCGCACCGTTTTTTGTCCGTTGTCTACAATCTACGAACACGCCGAAAGGCCGTGGATCAGATGTACTCCTATGCTGTGCGATCGGCGGGTTGAAGACTCGATCTGGTCGGACCGACTGAACGGAACACAGCTGATGGCCAGGGATCAGAGTAAGTGAGGTAAGTCTTGCGAACAGTTTTAGCGACACTGAGGTACACCTTCGTCGAAAGCTGAGTGAAACGCGGATCAGAACTCAACACATTCAATGAACCTCAGAAACCAGCACAGGCTAAGAGGTCTATTGCTTACGAACAGATTGTGGATCTGTTCAAATTAACGATTCGTCACTCAGTCAGTCGTTCAGTTTCGTCGATTGCTTATCCTTTCAGATGGCGGTGGCAGGCGCGTCAGTCAGTGTTCCGAATGCTTCGAATCACGTGTCATTGTTGAGCTTAGGAAAGAGATAATCCAAGCCTGGAGCATCTAGAGACTTGTGCTAAGTTATTCTTGACCGTCCAAGGATCTTTGGCCCGTCGGCTGACCTTCCTTTCTGGAGGTATTCGCAACACCTGCCCAAACCATCGCAGCTGTGACCTGTTAATCTGAAGAAGCAACGGCTGTGCACCAAGATTGTCGCCAATTTCTGTTCTCCGAACCATGCTGAGAAGAGTGAGTCCAGCGATTCGTCTATGAAAGCCCACTTCAGTCGCTTGCATCGGGGATCGAAGACTTCCAGTCATGGCCCACGATTCACTAACGTAGGTCAGCATCAGGCTGAACATCAGCTTTAACGGCTCTACTTTAGTCACAACGGTGAAGGTTCGTTCACGGACGATGCCAATAAGAATTCCAATTCTCCGATCGATCAATTCCTCCCATTTCCATCACCCCGATATACTTAATTTTCTCCATCTCTTCCATTGCTTTGCTGCTGGTCTATTTTTCAAGCGCACAAAAGAACGGCAGAGTACAAGATTTTCCGTTTTAGACATGTCCACACGTACGCATGCCGGCCTCGTAGTACTCGCATGCGAAACTTTTCAGATAACTCCGAAGATCAGTTTCAGCAGATGCCGATAAAACAAGGTCATCGGCAAGCAGCTACCTTCTCGTCTGTACATCTTCTCCTAGGCTAATACACTCATAGGCTTGGCTGCACCTGACTATTCACCATCCATATGCAACATTCACAGGAGAGGAAGCAACAGGAAACTTTGGGGGGGGGGACCAGCGTCAAGAATGAAATATCTCGTCTTAGCACCATGTACTGTAGCACGGCACCTGCTATCGACACATGGTGACTGGATAGTTCGTAGCAAATGACCATCCATCACATATGTTTGCAGATACGCCCGTAGCTCGTTCGCGCGAGATCCGGTCACAGACTTTCTCCAGTCCCACAAAACGTACATAAATATGCATGACAAATCTTCCATTACGTCTCAGCTATTTTGCGTACGGTGAAGATCCGGTCAGAGGCCCTGCGGCCTGACCTGGAGTTACGTTGCTCTGCTGGTATAGATTATTCCGAGGCAATTCCTTTCTAACAACTCTGTGTAATTTTTTCCTGGGAGACCCAAGGACTACTAATTACTGCTCTGATAATCAAATCACTCACTGTGATCTCCCTTCTTTAGCATAGGTAACATAATCCATCATCCATATTGTCCAATCCACCGGCGCCTACTCCGTAACCATTGCTGTTTGACACATGTGCATTTGGCGCAAGATGCCTTGTTCATTTAACGCTTTAAGCACGTCAGGGCAGATTTCATCGATTCCAGCAGCCTTGCCACTTTTCTAGCTTTTTGCAGCTTTCTGGCATCATCTGTTGAAGGATTAACATCCGTTGTATGCTTCACTTCAGGCGAATTACTCCGTCGTTATTTTGGGTTGATGAGTTCTTAAAACTGATCTCTCTACCGCCTACGTATGCTCTCTTCCTTGGCAAAGGGCGTGAGGCTCCAGATTTGTCGTTTGTGATTCTCATACTGCCCTTCTGTTCATCTTAGAGGTAGTGAATGATCTGCTAGAACTCTGTATTTGCCGTGTGTAGATTCGACTCCAGTGCATCACCGATCTTTTCCTATAAACCTGCTTTCTCTTTAGGCACTGTTTTCCTTTCCGCTTTGTGCGCTCTTTTCGTTCTACGCTTCAACTGAAAGCTCTTTACTTACAAGCAGTCTTTTCAATGCAACTTTTGCAGCCTATCTTGTTCACAAGGAAGCTCATTATTGACGTCCAGGCGGCAGGCCAATCCGCTCTAGAACACAAAATTCGATGGCAGCCCCATCCAAACCGGTTTAAAAGAATTTCCCTTCATTTTTCACATCACGTGTGCGATGTTGTTTGCAAATTTCGCTCTCGTTTCCACCGAATATTTTGTTTCCCATTTGATTCTCAGGTTCCTCCTGTCACCAGGTCTTCGCATGGTACTTCATTTCTTATAGCGTAGCGTGCCAACAACAAGGGGACGATCGGGGAACAATTCTGAGCCACTTTAAATACAAAAATCAATTAAAGAGCGTCGTAATCCAGACCATTTGCGATTATTAAATAGATCATCAGTTTCTGTGCATAAGTCTCCCTATGCCAGTTGTGATGATGCGCTCTCCGATGCTCGAAAACGGTATTCATTATATGCTGTCAGCAATTTGCACTAAACCGCAGACAATACACGGCCGCCTTTGTTGAGGTCGCTGGGGCCGTTATTTCCTGTTATATCTTTCCACTTTTGAATGTCCTATTCCGCATGGGCACTAAAACCGCACATTAAAATAATGGATTCTGTAGCCGTCATTCACAGAGTACTTTTAATGATGCATTTTCTCCCTCCAAATTGGGCACATTGACCTATAACAGGGTCGAATCTTTGACCGGTAGTACTTTCAGATGGATGCGTGCCGCTCTTCCGCTGTCTTGCTTCCATTCAGTGATTTTATCAGTAAGTAGGGTTGTACCTAAACAACACACAGGTCTTAACGACTGGCGCAAACCATGATGTTCGCACCTGCTTAGATTCTACACGCGGGCGTTTGGAATTCTAGACTTCGCACTTCGTTGACGAGAGTCACGCTGTATACAGTCGATATTTTATGGCCTCATCAAGCAGTTCCTTCACTTTCCCTCTGAGTGAAGAAATTTTTCAATTTCCGACTGTGAACTCCCACTATCGATATCGTTGTCGTGTAACCTTATTGGACGTTTCATAACCGCATTCGCTGTATGGCTCCTCCGTTCAGGACAAAACAGCTCCGGTGATAATTGGCATCTTCGCCATCTTCTTGTCGATCTTCGACAGCCGTCACCGTGCTACTACTCCCCACAACCTAGCTGCTAGAAGCAGGTTCTGATGGTGTGCTTCAGTTACTCAACAGCCTGTGTGACCACTGCCAACCCGGGCGACGACTGAGCCGGTATAACGTTCGATTTCGGAATACAACGGGACAGATGGCCGAGTTTTACAGGAGACCTCGCCAAAGTCCCCAGCCGTTATTTTTACTCATGCAGGCTTGTGACTG